CGATTCACCTCCACTCGCAAATGCATCTAAGTGTGCAATGGCAGTGGCTCCAACGTACTTTCATTATAGGCACCCGCACATGGCTCGCATTATCGTTTTGCGATCACTGCTGGTGCCGTGTATGACGCAAATGCTAAAAGCTCGGCTCTTCAGTCGGTCCACCAGATGCGCCTGTTGAGTGTCCGCCTACTGATTTTGTAACTTTTACGACCGGTACCTGGTACTTATAATTAGCACGAACGGTGAGTTAGGCCGACCGGTACCCAAGGCCTGCACGAGAGAAGCAAGAAAAGACGGGCGACCACGAGCAGCGTGTATCTACACAAAACAAGTTAGAGCAAGTCGATCTCACACAAAGGCTGAATGCATTTAAGGGGCTGCGCGAGAGACGTAGTCCGAGACAGTGGACCAATCAGAATTGAGGAGACAGGACTGACCGCAGCGAGATAGCTCGAGACGCCTTTGTGTGTGTTGACTCATCATGGGAATAGAGGCATTCCCAACAGTAACTTAGTAGCAGAATGACTTTGAGTGGTGGTGCCGGAGACAGGACTTTTTAGGCTCACTCCTAAAATGTCAGTGAACATAAGAGTCGGCGAAAGTCGACATCTTCTGAAAACTATAATCTGATTTTGGGAAGTATTGCGACCCCTGTTTGAATCCCCTCCCCCTCCCTCTTTCAGGGTGCTGTTTCAGTGGAGACCCTGGAGATTATGCCGCCGCATCCGAGCACACGCAACCACGCAACCAACCCCTGGCCCGAGTGGCCACTCATTTGGCGGTCAGACTATGGTCACGAGGAGGTGAAGGTGCGTTACGGCAAGGATCCGCGCAACTTCAACATCCTCACCAAGGGCTTTTTTGCCACACCAGACGGAAAGTCTGTGGCCGGAATCAAGACCGTTGGCGTGGAATGGAAGAAGTCGCCGGAGACGGGTCGTATGGAGTTGGTGGAGGTTCCGGGTGAGTTATCCCCCATTGCTCCCTCTCAATCTACCTGCCGTTTTTCTTCAGTACATTGAAAAGGAGTAGCTCTCTGCGTAACCTATCTCAGCCTATGGTGTTGCAAGTAAATATGGTGCTTTCTCTGTTCGTTTAGAAACCAATTAGTTCATATCCCGACTTTGGTTGTCATGATTAGCTTTTAAAAGAGTTCCTTCTGTAAATTATTATATTTGCTTAATCGGTAAAGTACCCCACTCCCCCAGGTGCCCTAGCATGACCATGTCTGGCTTCTCAACCTCTTAACCAGCCGGTTCACCGTTAAATATTAATTTCAAACGATTTATAAAGTTGGTATGTCAGGCTTACTCTCTGTGCTGTGGCCGTAATTTACTTCAATTTATTTATCAGTTCCCAGCTTACAGGTAAGGTCAAAAGGGATTTGCAGTAGAGGATCGAGTTGATAGGGAAACAAATCTCCTGATCCTCTTCTATAGTGTTTTTCAGGAGAAAAAATTGCAGTTCGTTGAATTATTAAAGTTCGAAAAGGTTATGGATCCGGTATTCTGTATCAGATGAAGGTGTGTTGGCAAAGGGTTGCTTGCTGTTGGCTCAGGAGTTAGCCGATTGCGGGCTGCAGAGTCAAACCCATTGCCCTCAGCATGAAGCCTGGGACAGGGTTCAGAGTCCTGAATGTAGGAAGCTAGTGATAGCTCTCTTAAACAAAGGATAGCTTTGCTGAATTTTGGTGCTTCTGGGTAGTATATTCCAGATAACTAAAAAAAGAAACTAGCGATGTATAACTGTGCCTGCCAGAGGAAAAAATGAAAGAACATCTCGATAACTGCTGCGCCGAGAGTGGTCGGGCTGCCTCAGAATACTACGAGGATTAAAGGTACGATTTTACACATGCTGTGAGACCCAAGCCGCCGATACAGTAGCTTGACATACCTGCACTATACCTGCGTATGGCGTGCATTTAAAAATGTTGGTTCACCTTTCCTGAGATCGACCAGTGACTGTAGGTGGTGTCCTCGGTCCTAAATTTATGAGTGGCACTATTGCAAGTGACCGCTTGACGGGGTTTTGCCAACTACATGGTTAACAAACTATTTCCTACTATATGGGTTTTGTCTTCTGTTGTGGCCACCATCAAATAAAACTCCCCCCTCCCACAGGAACGGACAAAATTCTGGAGTGTGATCTAGTGCTGTTGGCAATGGGTTTCCTCGGTCCGGAGAAGACCCTCCTTGAGGAGCTCAATCTGGCTGCCGACGCTCGCTCAAACATACAGACGCCCAGCGGACGCTACTCAACCTCGGTGCCGCGTATCTACGCTGCAGGAGGTGAGCATTCCTTCCTTTTTGCTTTTCAATTTTTGAATGGCTCCCTGAAAATTGTCTCTTTCCTTGCATCAATAATATTGTCTTATCGTCAATAAAAGCGAACACGCTAGTCCCAGGAAGTAATTGAGAAGAAGAAGATTCGGTCACTGAGACAACACTTTTATTCGCCTGACGTTTCGACATCCGTCGCTGATTCTTCTTCGGAGACATTAACAGAAAACAGATAACATATGCAATGAAGTATGCAGTATTTATAGGACACAGTCCTTACTGCAAACGTATAGCGACAATTAACGATAATTGCCTCCTTATGGGTTGATAGGTTGTTGACCGGCCTGCGGGCTCTGACTTACTGAATTTTCATCACGCGTAGTTGACTCTGGCGTGAAGATTGCTCGGCTCTCCGGTTCTCCGGCGCTGGCGCAAGACGACGCGGTGGCCTGTGCGTTCCCCAAGTGACGACTTGCTTTGGCCAAATTGAGTCTCAGAACCGAATATGGGTTGGGCAAATCGTTTATAGATTGAGGGTCCGTGAACCCTGACTCAAGTAATTCTTGGCTCACCCGATTGTCACCTCTTGCGAGAATTTCGGCCTCATCAAATATGAACGTATGACCGGGTCTCGTCGAATGAGCCGCAACTTGACAAGTGGCAATTTGCTTTGACGGATTTCAAAACGTCAGACAAATAAACATAGTGTCCCAGCGATCGAGTTGTCTTCTAATTCT